ACACTCAGTAATATAAGTATGTACGATAATTGCTCTATTGCAAGCATTGACTGTATACAAAACCATATATTATTTTAACCATAGAAAATTTTGTTATTAATGCCAGTATGCAAACACTACTAATAGGGCAAATAAGGTACATTGATGTGCTCACTTACTTGGTAGCGGTTGTAAAAGTATAGCACTATTGCTAACTACTTTTGTTTCGTCCAGTACTACAGCATGATACTGAAAAATTTGTCTTTTTACTTTATCTGCAATAAAAAAAGAAAAATATATTAACACATCACCTGCTGATAGTATAGATGAATGGTGAAATCTTAAAAACAAAGTTATCAGTATAAGCTGCCAGTGAGGGCACTTTACTTACACAACTATACACAAAAACACACTCCCTGGCTAGCTGAGAAACCATGGCAAGTCGTGTCATATTCATGTCAACATTTTGTAATATTTCTGAGTTTTATATGTGCTAGTAAGTGCTGGCAGTGAACAGGATAAATTACGTCAGATTGGAAACTGATTCCGTCAATTCACATACATTATTGTATTTTTGCAGAGACCACAACATGACAGACTGGATTATTTGAGTAACTGAAAATTATTCAAGTTAATAAATTTTTGTTCTCACTTCACACACATCGATACAAGGTGAACTGAGCAGATGACACACTGAGTCGATTAATGGATAACTAATGTTTAAAGGTGATATATTCAAGTCTTGTTTCAGTTGTACTGGGGTATGTATGGTTTTATTTTTTCGACCCAAGCGTCTTGCAAAATCTTGCACCAGTTTTCTCTACCAAATTTGTCAAAACGTTGTACAGATTCAGAGGCAACAGAAAGTAATTAAAGCTAATATCGTCATGACAGAATAACAATGTCCAAATATGGGCAATGACATTTTATACATTCGTTAATAGTGAACATTGACTTACTTTGCTCAAGTGGGATATCAAAGTAATATGCATCTGATATTCCAACTTTTACAGGATGTATGTTTTCTGATATTTCACTAAGTGCTATAGGTATCTATAATATGAACACAATAATGTTAAGAGCAATGCGCTGTTACCATGCTAACATCACCAGATACTGACGAGTGAGGTGCACAAAGTGTAACTAGCAGCCATTCGGCCAATATAGCTTCACTGTTTGAGATGCATAATGTGAAAAGATTAATCTTAAACAATCAGGTTTATCTTTATGAAGTCAAAAATAAGAATTTTCTACTAAAATAAATTTATTTGTTAAAAAATGACAATTTGATGATATAGTCACAAAATGAACGAATCTGATAAAGGTCAAAACACTATCTAGCTGGTTATTTTCCAAAAGCAGTCAAAATAGCATTTTTCCAAAAAAATTCATTAAAAATGGAGATGAACTGAACAAGAAAAAATGTGATAGAAGTCCAGCTAAGGTTATCTACATATAGAGAAAAGTAAACTTGCCTGCTTGTAAACAAAGACAATTCTGCTATCATTGAAGATTGTTACCTGGAAGGTGAAGTTACCATCTATTGAGGAAAGAAAAACAACCACAATGACATCTGTAACTAATGCATGTCATGGTGTGATTTTTAGCATCAATAAACAAAAATATATAGCTTATGTGAAGCCTACATTTCCATGTATTCCTTTTACTTGTAAACAAATATCATTGATATAATCTTCTAAATTTTAACCACATTTTACATACCTGAAGGTTTGTCTCGTAAGTGAACATTTGTCCATTCCACGGTAAATCTGGTTTCTGAAAATAAAATAAATGACATCAATAGGTAGAAGAGATCCCACTTATCAAGAGAGAACCTGACACAAAATCAAATAGAAATATTAAAAGAATTCAAGTCTTCTGTCTTTATACAATCATATTTGGTTTGACAATCAAACAGATTAGAAAAAAGATTATGAATACATGTATATATGCTGTAGAAACACATGGATTAGACAATTTACATTCACTGTCTCAAGCACATGTTGTTTGTGATCAGTCAAGACAGTACTTGATCTGTGGGACATAGCTGTAGATCATGTCTGTATGTCCTTACTCACATATATTAAGAACTGACCTTGATTGCAATACCTGATAGAAGAACGTGTTGTAATATTTAGATCAAAGTCTGCCATCAATGGTGCAACATATTGTGTTGCCGCTAAATGTTGGTGAAAGTGTGAACCTACATACAGAAAACCTGACAAAAAACAAAACAAAAAAATTATACAAATTTTAAATCTGTTGGATGTTCTATCTCTATCAAAAGCAATAAGCAAATACGGCTTTCTGAACATATTTTTATTTGAAGGGGAGACTTTTTAACGAGCAATTAATTACATTGAGTAGCTATTAAAATGCAACTAAACCCACCTCCAATAGACATTATTGGATGATGTTTTATTGCATCTTTAAAAATAATATTTTTATCAGTGTACAGCAATAAAGTGTTAAGATATAAAATACAGTGATTGATCTAGGAATTCATGAAGTGGGGTCATTGGGGCCCCTCTTGTGTCAGAACAAGGGCCATGACAAATTACTGGGGGCCCAGAAGTTTGTGTACTGCAGCATGACATAGCCATTTTCCAGCATTTATAAAAGCCTGAATGCATAAAAAATGATATTTGTATTGAACAAAATTATAATGAACCCTCACTTGTTGTCCAATAAACAATTTGTATAGTACTGAACAGTGTCCTTTACTAATACTTTCTTCATGACCACTTACATCTACCTACTGGGACAATTGATAGAACATCAGTGTCCTTTACTAATACTTTCTTCATGACCACTTACATCTACCTACTGGGACAATTGATAGAACATTGGTGTCCTTTACTAATACCTTCTTCATGACCACTTACATCTACCTACTGGGACAATTGATAGAACATCAGTGTCCTTTACTAATACTTTCTTCATGACCACTTACATCTACCTACTGGGACAATTGATAGAACATCAGTGTCCTTTACTAATACCTTCTTCATGACCACTTACATCTACCTACTGGGACAATTGATAGAACATCAGTGTCCTTTACTAATACTTTCTTCATGACCACTTACATCTACCTACTGGGACAATTGATAGAACATCAGTGTCCTTTACAAGTGCAATACTTGCCAGGGTGAGAAGATTTGGGAAACTTTCTTTGTGATATGTATTTATAATTTTCCAAAGTTTACACAGTTTGTCTCTTGGGTATGCTTCTTGTAGAACCAGTTTTTTGGCCAAGTCCCATTCTCTTCTGGTGGCCTCTGGATCAATCAAAGGAGGTTTAAGTGTACCATCATCAAGAGTAACTTCATACCCATAATTCTGAATAAGAACCTCTATTTTATCATTATCTCATTCAGCCTTATTATCTACAAAAGACAGTGGTCGCATGCCCAATACAGCAAAAACTGTGATTATGTTGGAACTATCATCTGGAAATCGGGTTTTCAAATTGTTTATTATTTCTTCACAGAATAATTTTCTTATTTTCTCTTTGAAATGTTGTTTCTTAACCTCGGTGCAATACACAATATCATGACCCTCAAGCTTCTGTCTGTTACCAGGTCCCTCAGTTACCAGTGATTTCTGTAGCTGCTGCAAGTGTGGGCCATCTTTGTCTTTCAGGTTCTCAATATCCTGAATGGCTTGATTGACAGCTGGCTGTATTAAGCAAGGTCAATGTCCTGCTTCTGAAACACCATGGATAACTGTGTCATTATTGGAATTACATCCATTAATAGGTACATTGTTGCAATGAAGTTGAATGTTGTGATTTCTTTAGGATTCCTTTTGCTTTGCTGTCTTTACTATATTTTGACCTTCAAAATACACCACCAATGCACTCCACGTTCG